GGAGCAAATCCTCCTGGAAATCATTTCCAAGCACTTTAAGGAGGAGAAGAGATTTAGAGTTGTCAGCGTGGATTTACAAAGAGGAACTCAGGCCTGACTAACCTGACAGCCTTCTACAATGAGATTACTGGCCTGAGAGACAAGGGCAGAAGAGTGAGTGTTGTTAATCTTGACTTCAGCACAGCTTTTGATGATGTCTCATACATCTTTATAGGCACCCTTACAGGCAAACTGATGGAGGTCAGATATGGACAGTGAGGTGGACTGAAAGTTAGCAGAATGACCAGGTTTAAAGGGTTATGTTCAGTGGCACAAACTCCAGCTGGAGGCCTCTAACTTATGTTGTCTCCCAGAGACACACAGCACACAGCTAACATCTTCATTAACGACCTCAGTGTGACCTGGATCATGAGACAGAGGGTGTTCTCCACAAGTTTGCAGACAAGGCAAACTTGGAAGAGATGGTTGTTAGATGAGATGGTTGTGCTGCCATTGAGAAAGACATTAACAATCTGGAGAAATGTGCCAACAGGAACCTCATGAAGTTTAAAAAGGGAAATGCAAAATCTTGGAACTTTGGAGGACCAACCCCTTTCATCAGTACAGACTTGGGGACTGACTGGCTGGAGAGCAGCTTTGTAGGAAAGGACACAAGGGGTCCTGGTGCATTAACAAGCAATACACACTTGTAGAAACTGAGTCCAACAGCCTCCTGGGCTGCATTAGAAGAGCAGATCAGCCATCAGGCTGAGGCAGGTAATTATTCCCTTCCCAACTGGTGAGACCACACTTGGAATACTGTCCACATTTCTGGGCTTCCCAGTGCAAGGACATGCACGTACTAGAGCAAGTTTGTCAAACTACCACAATAATTAAAGGATTAGAGCATCTGTCATATAAGGAGAAGCTGAGAGAACTGAGATTGTTTAGCCTGTAGAATAGAAGTGTTTTTCTTGGTTTCATTTCCAGGTAGTTGGAGGAAGTGCATGAAGCACATTTTACTACAAGTGTCACCAAGGAGGTGTTATGCAAATGGGGTAGTAATCTCTTGGATCAGTTGAAGCAAATAAGATCATACTTCCTTTTTAGGTCATGATCTAAGTTGAACTTATGAAACTGCTCTTCTTTGGAAGCAGTTCCTGAGTTATCAGCTCAGCAGCTGTGGAATTTGGTGAATGGTGTGTATGGATGTTCATATGTGACATAAGCTACTGCTTTGATACCAAGAACCTGTTTTCTCCCGAGAGTAATAATGCCTGGAAGCTTGCTTTTTTTTTTTTTTTTTTTTTTTTTTTTTTTTTTTTTTTTTTTTTTTTTCTGCTTGCACTTCCACTTAAAAAGCCTTCTCTCTCTGCTACCAGACCCTCCTCCAAGAACTGTTGCTATTATTGTTTATTTGACAGTTTTTCAGTTGGATTTTTTTTGATCCTAGTGGTTGTATCCTTGAGCATCTCATTTTATCTATATGTACTGATCTCTTCAAGGTGAGAAAACTGAATAGTCTATTGTTCTCTTCTCAGCTACACAGGCAAGGTAAATGCTTTTAAATGGTCAGCAGCACCAGCTCTGGTCTAGGTCAGTGGCAAGGGACATTATTGACTTGGCCTTTCTATAACGGGAAGGATACAGTGAGAAAGATTATAAAGGCTAAAAAAAATTGTTTCTGTTCTGACAGTGAGCAGGCAACTCTGCACTTAAAATTTTTACAGCTTCAAAGGAATGGAGTTGTTGATCCTAGTAGAAACGGTGTGCCCTTGTGGAGATGAAAGCTGAACACAGGCAGCTAGTTGGGATGTGATGTCTCCTCTGCCACTTTCATAGTGTATTTGGGATACTGTGTCCAGTTTTGAGTGTGCTACAAGAAAGGCACTGCCATGATGGAAGAACTCCAGTGAAGGGACATAGTGATAGTCAGGGAGCTGGAACATAGGAGATAGAGGAAGAGGTTGAAACAACTGGGTTTGTTAAGCCTTAGGAGAAGATTTAAGGAATCTCTTATTCTTTTAATGCCTAGTGGCATGGTTGCCAGACTCTTCTCAGAGGCGCAGTGATGGAATGAGAGACAACATATGAGATTGCAACATGGGAAATTGCAATGAGATGTTAAGGAAATATGTTTTCACCATAAGAGGAGCCAAAAACTGGAACAGGTTGTCCATAGAAACTGTGATATTTCAGATCTCAGAAATACTCAAAACATGACTGGACAGGTCCTGAAGCAAATCAATCTAATTTAACATGCTTTGACTGGAAAGTTGGACTAGGTGACCTGCAGCAGTCCCTTCCAATCTACATTATTCAATGATTCTATTATTCTGCGATTTGTATCTATTTCTTGCCACTGCTCCAGGTCTGCAAAAGCCTTCTCTATGTAAGTCAAAGGAAACCCAGCTGTACATGCTCTGACAGGGTTACTCCACACTCCCTGTTACAGACCACACTCCCTGTGGTCATAACTTCTATTTGGCAGTAAACTGTATTAATTATATGATATAATGATACGATATGCTAATATGATGTATTATAACTGCTTAGAAATGATATAGGGATAGTTGAACTAATTCTACTTATGTGCAATTTAAGTTTAATTGATAATTCATCAGCACTAGTCATTGATTCAGTAATATAGGGAATGGAACATCTAGGGAATGGAACATCTCTCGTATGAAGAGAGGCTGAGCGAGCTGGGCCTGTTTTCTCTGGAGAAGAGGCGGCTCAGAGGGGATATGATTAATATGTATAAGTTCAGGAAGGGAGAATGCAGGGAGGAAGGGGACAGGCTGTTCTCACTGGTGGCCAGCGATAGGACGAGGGGTAATGGACACAAGCTGGAACACAGGAAGTTCCGTCTCCAGGTGAGGAGGAACTTCTTTACTGTTAGGGTGACAGAGCAGTGGAACAGGCTGCCCAGGGAGGTTGTGGAGTCTCCTTCTCTGGAGGTCTTCAAAACCCGCCTGGATGCCACCCTGTGCCACGTGCTCTAGGTGTGCCTGCTTGAGCAGGAAGGTTGGACTAGATGATCTGTAGAGGTCCCTTCCAACCTTAAATATTCTGAAATATTCTGAAATATTCTGAAATATGGATGCACATTTGAGAGGGTGAAGGTAGAAAATGTGAGCTTTTCATCTTAATAAGCAAATGTTCAACTTTATGTCTATGCCATTATCCACTTTCTCTAAAATGTCTCCATGTAGTTCAGGTAAATAAACAGAAATGTACTGAGGGTTTTGTTTGGAGCACAATGTGCCATGGAGCCAGGTTGACAATGGCCCGTGGGAGAACTGTGCTGGATAGCACAATCTCATGCCACTGGAGTGGCACAAGGAACGGCTAAGAGCCCTGTGCTTCTCCACTGGCAAGCTGCCCAAGAGCTGGCAGCATGCCCAGGAAGGAAAAGAATGAACATGTTCAAAGCAAGAATATACCTAGAGCCTGTTAGCATCAAAAGTGATAGATAAGGATGAGGGAAAATACAACCTGCAAAATTGACTTACTCATCTGGGAAGCTCACAATTGCCTTGGTAATGCAAATTCCTCCCCAGGAATCTCTTTCTACTCCTTGGTGGCTCCTCTTCCAGTACAACTTACCTATTGTCCCAGTTTTCCTCCTGGTTCTCAGATTTAAGAGAGAAAGAGAGAGAAAGCTGGAATCACCTTTAGAGAATGGAATGTCTATGGCCAGAGGAGGGATTTAATTCATTTGTTGACAAAGATTCTTCCATTGTTTCAGTCCTCAAAAGGTTTACATTGCACCATCTCACAGGAATGATAAAAGCCATGTTACTCTGCCTTTTCTTGAATGACAGTTCTGTACACATGCATTTCTTCTTCTTCTTCTTTTTTTTTTTTTTTTTCCCCAAAAGTCCAAGCAAACTTGGGAGCTTTCAGTAGATCTAGATATGATAAAAAATTTAGTGCATGTACAGGGAACCTTCCTAGTGAGAGGAAGATATAATACAGGCTGCAGGAACTAGAAGTTTGTGATTTCCACTACTAACTGAATTCGGTGACTGCAAAGCAAAATCTTATTTCCTTTTATTTTTCCCCCTCTCTCCTCAGAGGTTTTAGATTCCCAAGCATACTGTCATCCCAGGGATACTCTCGTCATCTCCCATATTCTCCTTCAAATCTACTCTTATATTCCTTAGGTATTCGATAGCCAAATCCCCTCTATAAGAGGGGACAGATCAGGAGTTTGATCAGAAGGAATGTGGATTCAGATGTGCTAATATACAGAGAAATGCTTTAGTTTTTGAGCTACGAAGTTAAAAATGGTTGGCTAAACTACAGCCAGCACCATTAGCATTATATTTTTATTGTTATTAAAAGTAACTGCAGCTGCTCATTATCTGTGCACAATCACTTGAACTTGTCTATTGAATTGTGTTCCTCAGCAGATGTAGATTTCGGGTCACTTAATCTGTAAATCTCAAACGGCCTTAGGCAGCATGTAGAAGTCCATATACTAAGATGGTATGCAGCGTTTGATCCTAATTAAAAAAAGTGACTGTCAGATAGAATGCTTACAATATTTCAGATACCTCATTGAGTTGAACAAGTTCATATAGACGGTTTTCTTGAATATTGCCCACCATCTGAGTTCCACTTTGTGTTATCATGGATCTTACCATAGAAGCTCTGTAATATTGACAAAGTCAGCCCTCAAATTTTACTTTCAGATAGGTGAGAAATACTATACATAGATTACTATTGACTAGGAGGACATTGTGTGACATCAGTCATTGACATAATCAGTGATCATGCTGAACATACTGATTCTGCTCAGTGGATCATTGGACACCACCACTGGACACATTTTTATATTTATTCTGATATAGTTTACTTCTATGATTGATTATTGTGTTTTTCTTCAAAGGGGAATTTTACTCAAAGATGCCAGTGTATTCAAAGTCACAAATTGCTTTCATTTCATGATTACAAAAGAAATATTAATTACATATCACTTTACCCACATTTATCTGTTTTCTTTTCTGCATTAGGTCTTAGAAGTTGAGAAGTTATCTGCTGTCTGAAATGGTAGAAAATGTGGCATGAAGGATATCTCTTTTTAAAAACACTGCTTAATTCATTTTAAGAAATATATTGTATGCTAAAGATTTTGAGAGACTGACATCCCTCTGAGCATCTTGATAGCATTTAGTTTGTCTAACCAGAAGTGCCTGATGTCACTACATATGGTAAAATGGAAACTCTGAGACAAATCCAAAGTTTTGGTATTTGTGCTACCTGTACAACTGCTACGGCATCCTGTATGGTGTTCAGTCTTCTAGTTTCCTGCTGCTCATCTCTGAATGTACGAGCTCGTCCATTTATTTCTAATTCACCTTTCATTTCTGTCTGGAATGCTCCTACAGAACTTTGTGTCGAAAGGACAGGAGTGCAGCTAGATATGGATTTTTTTTCTCTCACTGGAAGCACATTGAAGACATCCGTCGGACAAAACATCACTCTGTTTTATCCAGACAGGCTTGGTTACTATCCTTACAAAAATGAAATCACTGGAGAGGCAGTCAACGGAGGACTTCCTCAACTGTCTGTGCTGGAGAATCATTTAAAAAAAGCCAAAGAAGACATTCAGTTTTATATTCCTTCAGATGAACAGATTGGACTGGCTGTCATTGACTGGGAAAACTGGAGACCTGTGTGGATAAGAAACTGGGGTTCTAAAGACATCTATAGACAGGAATCCATTGAACTGGTTCAGCAGAGAGACCTAAGCCTATCAGAAGCTGAAGCCAGGACTATAGCTAAACTGGAATTTGAAACTGCAGCAAAATCAATTATGTTGGAATCTTTAAAGCTGGGCATAGCAATGAAGCCAAATCGTCTGTGGGGATATTACCTTTATCCAGACTGTTATAACTATGATTACAAACAAAATCCACATAATTATACAGGAACTTGTTTAGATATTGAAAAAGCAAGAAATAACGAGCTTAACTGGTTGTGGGAGAAAAGCACTGCACTTTATCCATCTATCTATCTAGAAACAGCTTTAAGATCTTCCAGAAATGCACGAGCCTTTGTTCGCAATAGAGTTCAAGAAGCCATTAGAATTTCATATGTCTCTAATTCTACTCATCCTCTTCCAGTTTTTGTATATACACGTCCAGTATTCACAGATGTCTATGAAGAATATCTCTCTCAGGTGAGTGGAACTTGACTTTAAATATTTTAAATTTAGGTGATGTTAGAATGTATGGTAACTTGTATTAGAAAAAAAAAAGTATATAGAATTTAAGAAAAAGCTTAAATTAACCTATCAGCTATACTTGGTCAAACCTAGTACTGAGAGGTCTATTTCCAAATTTTCCTCATAATATTTACTAAATAGTGTTCTACTGTCTGAGTAGTCCCTACATCTTGCAAAATATTACAAAGCCGTAAAGCATGCTTTGGTACATTAACTCAGAGAAAAGAATTAGGAATAATCTCTTCCAAAGAGAATTAATAAAATTTGGCTGGCCTAATGTCTGCTATTTTATGTCACAACAAACACATGAGTCTTTGTTTTTTTTTTCTTAAACTCTTTTTTCTCCTTGTTTCTGCTTTGAGTTATATGAAATGTTTCTCTTCTTGGCTTCTTAGAGGACTGTCAGGGGACCCTGTAGATGAAAACATTAAGATTTGGTTCCCCAGCTGAAGTAAGAGAGGACATTACAATAGTCACTTCTTTGCTCTATTTCTTTTTTTTTTTTTTTTTTCTCTATTGAAATTATAATGTGTATATCTTCATTTCCCTATTTCCAAATAATTTCTATTGAAGGTATTCTTATACAGTAAATTACCCTTCTTTCACTCACAATTCTTCTCATTATTTTGATAATATAGCTTAATTGTTCTCCAGAAATCAAAGAACCTCATTGCTTACTTAAGATTTGAAGTACTGATGAAAAATCAATTTCATTTATAAAAATCAGAACATAAAAATGTCACATAGACATAAAGCTAAAGCAGGTCACAAGTCTTTTGATAAGATGGATGAATTTTAAAGCTAATGAAAAGAATTCTGCGTGGTTATATCGCAGGAACTGAGTGATATTTTAACATTTCATAAGTTGTTCAGATTTAGGCGCTGATTAAGATCTGGTTATCTCAGTACGTTTCTGATTACACTTTTCTCCTCACATTTTTATGTGTATCTGTCCTATGAGAGATGCCACCAAGTTGTGGGAGCTCCTCCTGGCCCTGGCCATGCTGGTCATCCAGCCATGAGGAAGGGGGAAGTTTGCAGGTGTGATGCTCGTGACTGCATGGACACTCCTGTGCTTGGTGTCCTCTTTCAGACCCAGGTAGAGCACCGGATGCACCTCCAGCTCTTTGGTTACTTTCAGAGAGCAGTGGGGCTGTTCAGGATCCCTGACACTTTTTCTAGTTACTAACTTTAAATCCTGTAACCCCCATTCCCTTCTTATCCTTCTATTCTGTCCTGTAACCCTTCACACCCGTGGGTTGTCCCCCATGTTTAGTTGTTTTCTCCTGATCTCTCCCTTCCCAAATAGGCTTTAGGGTTTTGATAGGGGAATATGTGGCCTTAATGTGACCTTATGCAGTGGCATCCTCTTGAGAAAAGGGACTTCTGTTGGTGAAAGCTCATTCCCTTGCTATATTTCTGCTCTAGCTCATTCTAGTAGATAAAATTAAGTAAAGCAAGTTGCTCTACCCAAGCCCTGCCTTGGGCAATATTACTGAAGCTGGTTACTACCAACCCTGCGTGGACAGAAGGCAATGAAGCAAAGCAAAACACAACAAAAGGTTGGAAATGGTTAAATGGGTGAATGTCACATGCCTGAGCACTGGCTCAATTTAGTAATTACTTAAGTGGTTATTTTGGTTATATAATTTTATATATGTAGTATGCCTTTTGTCCTTATGTTATAACTTACATTAGTGTGATTCTTTGCACGTTTACTCTCAGGAAGACCTGGTAAATACAATCGGAGAATCTGCTGCTCTGGGTGCATCTGGAATTGTGATCTGGGGTGACTTGAATTTAACACAAAATAAGGTATGACAGTTAATTTTATGAGGTCCTAATGAGCAGTAAAATCAAAAGGGTGTTAAGCATTATGACTTACATCATATGTTTTACTCTATTAACTCCATGCAGTCAACAGACCTTGTGTCTTCTCTAGTTAATGAAACGAACACATTCAGGCTTATACAACTTGCCCATGACTATGCAGGCTAAGAGTTTAACCTTTGAATGTACCAATGTTGGTTGTGGACAACCAACTGGATAAGCTACTATGATAATTTGACACAAGCTGGTACTTGTTTAGCTAATTTAAGGAAAGAGGTCTCATATTTCATTGTATTCCAGTGGGGAGATTACAGAAAAATTCCTTGGACTTGCTCAAGGCAATCATTCCAAGGTCCTTCCTTTTTATTTTTCACGTGGTGCACTTATTTAAAATCTTAGGAGAATTGCAGCTCCCACCTGTTCTGTGTTTCATAAGTAGTAGTCTGACTAATTCCAGTGTAAAAAGATCTGAGTCAGAAAAGGAATAAAAAAGTAACTTGTTTTAGGAAAGTCAAATTTACAGTTTGAGAAACATTGTTATAAGGGTGTTCAAATAAATCTTTTGAACGAGCTCATTCCCACTCAGGCAATTTTGATATTAAAAATCTACTGTATGTGAAGCACTTTCACCCTCCTTTGAAGTCTTCTAAGAGCACAGAATTGAAACTCCTCAGTCCTGTTTGGCTTCCTGTAACAGAATGCATGGCCAAATAAAACTCCTGTAGTTTCTTTTAGGGTCAAATAGTCAAAGTCATCCAATTTGCCCTTTTTCTATATGTACATGGCTTTCAGAGTGCACATCAGTTGCACCTGAAGCTTTTTTGCACACTACTATATACACTGCCCTATAACAGGACATAGATGAGCAAAAATTTTCCTGCTCAAATTCTGAGTTTTGTTTGAGTAAATAGAATTTTCCACATCCCACCGCCTCTCAGCAGTTAAATATTCCTATAAGACTCACTTTTGCTACGATTTCACAAAAAAAAATTCTAGCCAGAAATTTTATATTATCTAAAAGAAAAAGAAACAGACAACTACACAGTAATTTATTTACTTGGGTGGGATAACTTAATATAATAACTGCTTGGCTTTAGGCTGCTTTTAACATTCTAAAGTTCATTGTAGCAAATACTGCAGGTGAATACTACAGGGCACCCAACCCCCTTCAGACATTACAGATTCTAACTGCAGTTGAGGTCAGTGAGGTGAGGGCTCTAACACCTTCTGTTAAGGCACAGAGGTCTTTGGGAAACACTTGCTTACTCTAAAGATGGGTGAAAAGCCACACTTCACATACAAAGAGGCTCAAGTAAGATAGTTGGGCCAAAAATTCCTAAAGCCTCTAATTATTAAGCTGGTCAAGCATATGTAGAATAAACACCAACTGCATGATTAGATGATCTTGACATATTTTTATGCTTTGCATTCAAAATTCTTGTGAAAACTAGTCCTGCAGCTTAGGGCTAGTCAGGTCAGGGGAAAACTGAAGAGTCTCACAGAAATGATTTTATAGAAGAAAACCTATTCAGGGCCCCGTTCAAAATATTCAAGCAATTTGAAAAGTAAGTTTGATCCTTCATAGAATTTCTTCAAATGCATCTGATTCCAAATGCTACAAGCAAAGTTGCAAAGTGAAAGTCTTAATTCAGTTACTTTCTGACAGCAGTGCTTTCAATAATGTCTCCAACAACCACCCCACATTAATTTGCTGTGATGTTTGAATGATATGGCAACTTTTCAGATAAACCTGATTCAAACTACCAGTTATAACTATTATTGAAACCTTGAGAGAAAACCAGTACAGCACATTAAATTGACAGCATTTTTATAGCTTATTTACTAAACTTTTCAGCTATGATGTTCTTTTTGCAGAACACCTGTAAGACTTTGGACAACTACCTTAGAGGGACGCTGACTCCTTACCTCATCAACATCACCATGGCAATGAAAATCTGCAGCCAGGTACTATGCCAAGACTTGGGTGCTTGTGCACGGAAAAAATGGAATTCCAGTGACTACCTTCATCTGAACTCGGAGAATATGGTCATTCAAATGACAAAAGATGGAAAATACACTCTACAGGGGCAACCAACATTTCAGGATCTGCAAATGTTTACAGAAAAATTTGAATGCCGCTGTTATGCAGGGTACAGCTGCGAACCTCGTGTTGATATAAAGGACATGCATTACCTCCACGCTTGCATTTCAGAAGATCTTTGCATTCACATATCCTCAAATTTATTTTCTAATATAGAAGCTGCTAGAGGAACGATCCCATCTAACAGAACTATTTTTTCATTTACCTCTCCGTCTAAGATGACATTATCTACACAACATGAAATAAAAGATTTCCAATCTGCTATTGGAAATAATATACCCAATATAACAACTACAGAATATAACATCACTGCTACCACTAATTACAATTTAGAAGCAAATTATACTCGCAGTTTCAGTAGTTCTTCATCAAATAAGATAAGGCTTTTTAATATGTTTTGTTTAATTCCAATTTTGAGCACCTTAGTATAAATGACCCATGAAAGTGAGAATGAAATTCTTTTTCATTGACGTTGTTTGAAATTCTAGAAGTTTTATTTGTTTATAAGAATTGTTTCTGAAATGTGTGAAACAGCTGCAACTACGTGCTCTTCTCTGTATCAGGTTACTTTTGACACATCAGCTTCAATGTATTTCTTCAGTTTAATTCTAAGCTACTATTTGGACCAAAGATTTAGTGGTCTGTATATATTGCTTACACTGACAAGATAATCCAGAATAATGAACAATTTTTAATAGTTTATTAAAAAAAATTTATTCATAATGTAATTTTGTATTCTTCAAGTTAAGCCAGATAAATCTATCTCCTTTTGGATTTAAGTGAGTTTCAGTTGTCAACTTGTTGGTGCTTCATGTAGGAATGAATGTCATCCCACGTGAATATTAGCTCCTAAAAATACTTGGCTTAACTTTAGACTTGTGAGAATTTTCAGCATAAAATTTACTCTTAAGACTTGCATAATCTTACTTTAAAATCTTACTCTTTTTTTTCCCTACTTTTCACAGTATCTGTCAAGATAATTTGTTTTTCATTTAACTGAACATATTCCTAAGTCTTAAAAAGTTTCTGAGCTTAAAGTAAACCTTTACATAAAATACTAAAATTTCATTATTGTTTAAAATTTTAACTGTATCAGTTATTCCTTCCTTCTTTATTCCCTTCTCCCAAGCCTTCCTATTTATGTCCATTTTCCCCTCCTTGGCTTTCAGTTGTTTTGTCTGGTCAATTCTCACAACTCCTCACCTGTCACTCCCTAACAGCACTGGCCACCAATCCTAGATTCTCTGCTTAGCCAGATCAGATATAGCAACTGGATATGAGCAACTCTCTCAGCACCAGCTGGACACAGAGCTAGTGGGGTTGGAGATGCTGGGAAGTCTCTATGTCTGCCTGCCTGTTTCCTAACCTATGTATTTGGTGGAAGTCTGTTTGTTTCTTAAGAAAACTCAACAGTGGATGCAGTGATGCTGGAGACCCTGGACTCTTTTCTTCAGTCCCACCATTCATGATCCAGGACACCTCAGAGTCACCTTTCTTTTCAGTTTTCCTCATAGAAGCTAAAAGCCCTCCACAGAAAGCTGTTGTTCTACCGAGTTCCCTCTCTGCAGGGAGCACTGCTGCATAGCATAAGTGAGGAAAGTCAGATAGACAGCAGTTCACTGCCAGGACTGTGTAGGTGGCAGTATCCATCTCTGGAAACAGCAAGATGAACAGCATCAAGGGCCAGGTCATGCCACCTACACCACAGAGCAGGACATGGAATAGAACCGTAACTCACATTTTCATTATAAATAAAAGACAAGAAACAATATGGCATAGTCAATAAGAGAAGGCTCCTCAGAGAAATAAATCACCAAAGTCTAAGAGATTTTGTTGCATCTCAAGTGCAGCAGTTGAATAGTCACAATAGTTTTACATTATCTGCTTAGAGCTTGTTGCCAGAAGCAATACTGAAGTAGAGAAGACCTCCAAAGTAAACCGCTCCCAATTTCTATTGAGTCCAACTATGTTTTATGTATAGTTAGTTTAAGCATTTAGAAGCAATTAACTTTATTTATTCATTCAATAAAATAATCTTTATAATTTTGTAAAAATGCTTATTTGCAAGCATTCAGCAAGAGCTGACATCTGATGCGTGGAGAATGGCTGCTGGCATGTATTGTTTAAAAATGTCCTCCTAGAACTAGCTATGATCTTCCCACAGACACAACTTACTTCAGGAATGGAACTAATGGAACTGTCTGTCATTTTGACATAGCATTCCTTTATTAAAAAAAAAGAGTCTAAATCTAGCTGAAAACACATATCATAATTCCTGCAATCCATTGCCTTCAAACTTTCAGGTTGTCCATCATATGGAGGAATAACATTTTTATGACCAGTGAATACCAAGTTATCAAGAGGAAGTGACAACATTCTCATTCTTCCATCAGTGTTTTGAGAACTATGAATAAAAAACTATATATAGTGGGTTGTCTGGCAGAAGTCTGCCGTTTTTGATCTTTTTTGTTAAAAAAAAAAGCTTCTCCACTGCAGCTTTGATAAAAGTTGTTTGACCTTGGCTAAACACCAGCCGTGGTTTGTCTTTTGCATGATTCCTGCATCTGAGGTACCTCCTTTTTGTACTGGATATGTGATATTTATCAAACGCTTTCTAAAAACTGGTAATGTCATCGGTAATGTTTCCACATACTTTCTGAACATTCAGATTTATATGAAATATAGATTTATATAGAGATTTAGTTCAATGAATGCCTTGTTTCCCTGTTTTGTAAAATTACATATTGGCAAGATTTCTTGAGCTTAGACTTATTTGTACCCAGCTTTGAAAGACACTAGATTTGCAATACTTTGTGGTAAGGGAATTTGCAGGAGTCTACAGGTCTTGCCCTAAGTGTTTTTAGTGTTTTTTTTTTTTTTTTTGAATTGTCAACCAATAGCAGAGCATCTGTGAGGGGAAAAGGGTTAAAATTACAAAGCAAGGACAAAAGGGAGGTTAAAATAACAGAGGTGTAAATAGAGACCTAAGACCTCCTCCTAGTAGTTGTAGAGGTAGTGAAGTAGGCAGAGTAGTAGTAGGCAGAAGTGAAAGACTGAAGCAGTAGGGGATGCACATACATCAGTCTCTTCTTCCACATTTTCTATCTACCTGGTACTTAATAAAGACAACCTTTCTCCAACATCCACTTTCGGGTGTGTTAGATGAGACCCATCCATCTTATCCCATCTCTCTTCCCAGAGAGCAGCCAGAACCAGAAAAGAAAAAGGGAAGTGAATGGATAGCAGACAACTGTAACAACCAGTCCACAGAACTACATCTTCCTAATCTCCATCCAAAACCAGCTGTCTTGTGCCCTACTGCAGAACAGTTTCTATAAATTCATGTGCAATGGTTTACCAGCCACTCTTTGTTTCTTTATCTTTATATTATCTACATGTCTCTGCAATTCCTGTTTTAAATCCTACCAACTTTGTGTCATAGTGAGCTTCAGGCCGGCTACATGCTGTATAAGATACTAGTACTATTCCAATATTTTATTTTAATAAGCAGTCACCATGGAATCAGCAAGTCCCCACAAATTAAGGAAGGAGGGAAGAAGGAAAGCGGACGTACAGCTTCCATTGCTGGTAATTGCCTTATGTTCAAAGCCAAACCCATTTTCTCCTAAAACAGACATAAAAAAAAAGAAAATCCCCTACTTTCCCTGTAGTTTTGTGTAACCATAATTTGTCTCTGTAGCCTTATAGTTTGTTTCTTATGTTCTTGTATTTTTCAAAAGATTAAAAATCAGAGGAACGTTCATGTCCCTGTCATTATGGTTCATTATTTTGTTCTGCCCTTCCAGGCAGAATTCATGCTGGCAGAAGTTAGGGACAGGGGAATGTTAAAATGAATTTAATGAAGTGACACAGCCTAAAAAGAAAAAAAAAAAAAAAAAAAAAAAAAAAAAAAAAAAAAAAAAAAAAAAAAAAAAAAAAAAAAGGAGAGAGAGATTCAGCTACCTTCAATAAACACCTTCAGTATGTACAACTTATTGTTATTTTTTTTCTTAATATTCTGCTATCCAATTTGAAGAATAGGGACCTGGTTTACTGTGCTGCTTATTATGGGACATCTAAAGATACTGGCTCTTTTAAGGTTGGCGCTGGCACTTAAAGAAACTGAACAGAGGTGAAATCACAGTCCAGTGCCTGCCTCACAGTTTCTTGTTTCTCTGTATGAAAAATAAAAATGTAAAGGGAGATTTTTGAGAAGCAGGCTAATAAGACCATTTTGTGGACTTCATAGATGTGACTAGCCTCTCAAAAGACCAGAAAAAAATTCCTTTAATCCCTGTATCACACAGGAACGTCTTGTTGAATATATGTCAGCAAAACACTGTGAAAGATTTCAGACCCATATCATACCCATTTGACAACTCCCAGGCTCAGATTAGATTTGTACATGCACTTATCCATCATATTTCAATACAAACAAGACAGCAAAGGCAGTTGCATAAGTTTAGAATATATTCAATTATTGACAACATTTTTAAGACATCCAAATTCCCTCTTTCAAATATTAAAAAAAAAAAGTTATTTCAAAGTTATTTCATAGACTGGTTGTACAGGCTCCTTCACACTGGTACTATCTATTCTACCACAGCAAAACAGACTGCAAGACTAGAATCTGATATTTCAAAAAAAAGAGCCATGAGTTTCATTCCAAATAATAAAATCTATACAAAATCATTTTTATGATTTCAAACAATTTTCTGCTTTACTAAAAAAGGCTCCATCTTTCTAAGAGAAATTTATTTTTTGCTGTGGTTCTTTCTTTGCATTTTGGTTTGTTTGTTTCCTATCCTACTGAAAACCAGCTTATAGCTTGCTGGAAACAGAAACAAAAAGCTTTTGAGTCTGATTTCATCCCTTAGCATATCTGAGTGTTTCCTGAGAAGTGATTAGCCTGAACTGTTTTGTCTTTTTTTTTTTTTCTGGAAAGACTCCACTCAAATTTAACCCAGCATCCTCCTTTAGGATGAAGGATATATATATACATATATATATATATATGTTTATATATACATATATACAATCAAAGGTGAATACAAAGCTGAATAAAATACCTTTGATAAAACATTCCAGAGTAGTCCTAAATGTTTGTTCGTATCAGCCAGGGATGTGAGTCTTTTAGAGCATATTGTTGGTGCAAGCATCCTGGACCTTTAGCAGCTACTTTGTCAAATAGTCAAATTGCTTTCCTGTCCTTGGGACTACAAAATCTTCCAGCGACTGTTGTCACCTCCTTACATATGGTAGAGTAAAAGGCAAGCAGGTAAAGGTGCATGCACCAATAGCACTCTTAGCGGAACTACTTCGGATTATTGCTTTCACTAATATACTAAAACCATATTGATTGCATATTGATTATAGTTTTCCTTGGCCGGTAGTGATTAGACAGTATTTTCCAGTGTTTGCTTACACTCATCTTAGCTAATAACTGACAGTGTGTTTATTGATCAGTAAACACATACAAATAGAACATGAAAATTCATGCGGATCACCAAGTCATACATTCAGCAAACATTTTGTTTCTGTGTTCATATGCAAGTTTGGAGTACGGCATTCGGACGCATACATACAGACGGCAGACAATACACAGTCAAGCTTCTTTGCCTTTGTTTTCATCTTAGAAAATGTTATTCAACAAAACTTCAAGTTCCTGTGTATGAAATACACCATATGTGGGCAAACACCTCCTGG